ATCCTAACCCAGGAACGCCGAACACATGAAAACCCTCCGTCATCTATCGCCCCGCATGACGAATCACGGTTCGGACCCGAAAAGCCGATTTAGGGTCTTATATAACAATACCAATCTACGGCTTCTGCGGTTTGCGTAATCTGTGGGTGGTAGTGACCTAATGGTTTAGTCGCTATCACCGACGTGCTTTGGTCCCTGTGATCTGAGGTTTGAACCCTCCACCGCCACCGAACTTTGGTGGTAGGCATTCTCACGCATTCGCAAACTCAGACATTTTGGCGGTGGATAATTCATTGTTCTCGCTTTGGTTCGACCGTGTTTGTCCCTTGGTCTCATGCAATTCCCCGGTTAATATGATTGGTCAGTTCCAATGGGACTCCAAGGCTTTACGCCGTGGTCTTTCGATAATAAGTCACGCTTCTGCCACACACTCTGGAATGAACTACTCGACCAGTTATGTGAATCACACGTGGCTTTTTGGGACAATACCGGGGTAGCCAGTGATTTGCTTGCTACTCTCAGTCTGAGAGCCAGCCAGTGTGATTTCTTAGTTTCCCTGTTTGACGATCTCATTTTTCTCTTCTTTATGAACTCCTTTTTTGGTGGAGGCGTTTTTTGACGAAAATACCGACTTTCAAGCTTTACAAAGTACCGTAAAAAACAAAAACACAAGTGCAAATGCTAATACAAATTGGAAGCAATAGAAAGTTGGATATATTGAACGGATCCACGCCCGATTTTCAGTGCGAGATAATGAAAAATTCAGCAAGCTGGTTAACTATTTCGAAGTAGAAAATGAGTGGATGCACAAATGTCTCTGTTCACGACGCCTAGCCATATCACCTACTGTTTGCCACTGTGTATTGAGTCAATCGTGAGATCTTCAGCTCGGAAGCCAAATGTGACCTGTGTAAGCTAGTTTCTTGACCTAAACGTTCGTATTCCCACCCACCCCCGCAAGGTTTCACTTTAAGGACGACTAAATTCTCGTTTTTCTTCATATTTCTCTCACATTTTCCATGAATCATTGATGCCTCTTTTCCCTCTCATCGATATCGTAGACAACTAACTTCACAAACGGCCTCCGATTCCGATGCTGAAGTCCTCAACCCCGGTGACCAATTTTCTTCGCCAAATGAATCTGCTAGTCCACAGTTACGTCCATTCTCCTGCGAACGACTCCTAGATGAACCGATTGAGTCGTCCCCTCGTGTGAATAGCGATGATGCAAGTTCGAAACCAGAGACCAGCTCAGGTCTCGAGCGCACGCACTTCTACCCATT